CGGGGCTTCTTTGATGGTGGTGGCACCACAGTCTTGCAAGAGGACTTCAGCTTTGGAGAAGTCCTAAAAGGGTTATCTTGGTTGGCTTTATGAGGAGGAGTTGTGGGTGGAGTTAGGCCTAAGGCAAAAAAAGAAAAAAATAAATAAAAAGGAAGAAAGAAAAAGGACAGAGATGATGTTCTTAAATGCCGGAACACGCTTCCTAACTTTCCCAAGATTTTGGACAAGAGTTAAAATTGAGTGAAGAAGAAGGGACCTAAATTCATGACAAAACCTGAAAAACTGACTGTTCCCCTGAGCCTCTGTCACCAAGAAAAGATGGATCCACAATGCCAGGCAGCAGCGGGAGCTGTGATATTTTGTATTTCAAACACCAATGCTAACAAATCCTGCTTCCCAGAAAACATGAATGTGTCACCACTGGCCTCCACGGACAAGGCATCACCAAAGCTCCTATTTTCAAGGGTATCACACAGGCTGCTTTATGAGAAATTAATGCAATGGGACTCGGGAGTCAAAGAGTAGCTTTAGTGGCATTAGTCTGCGAAGAACATTGTGGAGGATACAAGCAGCTCAGGGTTCCTTTTCCAAATAAGGAAATCTACCCTGGGAGCCAAAGAATCAAGTGACATAAAAAAAAAAAAAAAAAAAAATGGGATGACAGTAAATGTGGGGTGGGTGGGAATGACAAAGGCAGCTTCAAAGTTAAGTTCAATAAAATACAACAGATGAATGCGGGGAACTGGAGCAACTGTGCAACTCGATGGCAATGATTCTTCGTCTCCACAGTTCATTAACTTAGTAAACCATGGCTAATGTAGGTATAATACATTCTTGTAAGCATAACTAATACATTCTGTCTAAAATATGGTTCTGCAACAGAAACCTAAGTGAACAGTAACACTAAATACTGCAGTGCCAGCGGACCATTTTATGTAGAATACACCACCAGTCAGGGTTATGAGACTGAGGGATTGAAATGAATCCAAGCTTCAGCAACAAACTAATTAAATAAGTAAAAAAAATAAAGGAAGAAAGGTGATTACCCATCAGTGGTTGTCTTTCTTGCTTTTCTGCAGAAAGGCTGAAAATTCCCTCAAAAGCCATTGCGAGAGCGTCTATGAAGCATAGTAGTTACCTCTCACATTTCACCCCTGAGCAGGTCCTACTCATCCCTTTGTGCTGAGGGAGAATCATTGGAAAATGGCTCCGGAGTCCAAGGAACTTTGAAGAGGGGCAGGATGGAGTTCAGATGACTTTCTGCTTACAACAGAACATTTTCGTTTACAATACACTTTCTATTTAGGAGGATGGGTGAATGCTAGTCAGCAAAAAGAACTTCAAGTCCGCTAACAAGCCTGGGGTGAGACTTAAGGCAACTGCACGTTTCAAGGAAAAATTCTACCTTGCTGGAAAAAAAAAAAATAGATATCAAGAATCAAGTAGGTCACAGAAAGCCACTTGAAATGCTGACATGAAGAGGAAGACACTGTCTCACTCTTCTACTTCACAATAAAGAGATGGAAGAGATGGATGTTTTCCCTCAAATAAAGCATTTTACACCAGTACTTAGCAATTTGTATCAGTCGCAGCTAATTCTCCCTAAGAGAGGAAAGTAAGAGTATGAAAATGCTACGTAGTTTGGCTTTGGAATTCCCTCCCAAAAAAGTTCAGAAAGACAGGAAAATGTAGACCCAAAGAGAAGGGGACACTGCCTTCCCTTCATGCCACACCTGAGTCTCAGAAAAGCTTGCCTTTGCTATCCGTCACTTTTGCGCACCTCCATCACTTTCTAAAAGGGGGGTGACATATTTTTGGATGAAACACCTGTGCCACTGACACACACTCCTTCGTTTCCTCTTTCATACATGACTAGGTCTTTTATTCAATCTAAGAAATCCCTATACGGTCCATCTTTTCTTCTCTCTCTCTCTTTTTTCTTGTTTTGTTTACCTTGTGCACTGTCCCATTCATAAATACTGATTTCTACCACACACCACGTTCAATGACTACTACAACAAATTTAAAGATACTAACTCACAGTAAAGAAATGGCACTTTCTCAAATACTCCTCACAGGAGCCTAAGATGCATAAACAACTGATGATGAATAATTTCTCTTTGCTGAGTAAATACCAGTCAAATATGCCAAATGAGGTAGCCCTTGAATTAGAAGAAATGACATTCAACATCCCAAAATATAATTCCATAAATCTTTTCATGATCACCCCAATTTAATATTAGAGGAAATGACATTCAACATCCCAAAATATAATTCCATAAATCTTTTCATGATCACCCCAATTTATGTATTTATCTATTTAATTTTTTATTGACACATCATTGATTGTACATATCTGTGGGGTGCTGTTTTGAATCACCCCAGTTTAGCCTAATTTTTACTTCCTTAATGATAGAGTTTGGAAGTGTTATCCTGCCCAAAACTCATGTGGAAATCTGATCTCCAATGTGGCAGTGCCGGGAGCTGTTTGAGTCATGGGGGCAGATCCCTCATGAATGGATTTATGCTTTCCCTGGGGGATGGGGGTAGTGAGTGAGATCTCACTCTATTAGTTCCCAGGAGAGCTGGTTGTTTAAAGGCATCTGGCACCTCCTCTCTCTCTCTCTCTCTCTCTCTCTCTCTCTCTCTCTCTCTCTCTC